CTTCTCTCTACTTGTTTTAGAGGAAAGAAGAGCACTAATAATTAGCATATATTTTTTTACTTTATATCATTGCAAAAAAGTACTTAATTCAGCCTTAATGAAGATATTTCAGATGAAATTCATTTTTCTGTTTAAACATGTAATTGTTTAAGACTTCACTTTACTGGCAAACCTACCCAATAATCAAATGCAACATGTGAAAGCCCTAACAGACTCTTGGTCAGGGGGGAAAAAATCAGCTAAGAAATATTATTAAATTTGGGGAAATATAGACTCTTCAAAATGACAATGATACTATGATTGTATACATTAACTGATTTGAACTCATTATTTTCTCAAAGGCCAACTGAGTCAAGACAGGAGATCTAGTAAGGAAGTTAAGAACCCTGCTACAATGGAATTTAGAGAGTAAAAGAGAAGCCACAGTAAATAATCAGGACAAAGCACATAACAGGCTCTGCCTGGGGGCTGCAAATACAAGATCGCCATTACATATTATGTGAAACACTGAAATAATTATCCATCTAAACTCAGAGTACCCAATACCAAATTAAACAAACGATTACCTTTCTTCTTTGATGGTGAGTCTACTTTAGCCGTTGGTTTGGGTTCTGAGGCAGTTTCCGCTAAAGATGGGCTATGAAGGTGGTCTGCATCTAACATAGATGAAATCTGAGGAGTTGCAAGAGGAGGTTCAAGAAGTTCTGCAGCAGACGTCGCATCACTCATCTGCTTACACAAGGCTCTGGGTTTGGGTTTCACTATGGTACAGACAGTATCTTCAATGGAAGCATCTTTCTCTACTTCTCTTATGAGGCTATCCTCACTTGGAATTACCCGAAAATGGGTATTTTCTGATGGTGTAATTGTAGCTGTCCTAGGATGGTAGTCAGATCTTTCTCTTTTGCTGACCTAGAAAAGGTGAATTGTTTAAATATTAAACTAATTTCAAAGGTATCTGTTAAATCTAATTCTTATGCTAATCAAAATGTGTTCACTTTATAGCATGTTCATTAAATATATTATTTTGTGTGAAATAGTTCATAATTAAAAAGTGGTAAAAACAAATAATTGCAGTTTGTTCAATATCATGATGTTAGTAAACAAGCTGTATTATAATCATTCTTTTATAAAGAATTAAACACTGGAGAATATTGTGATAAAATAGAGGTAGAGAATATTTATCTTGAGGGAGACAACTTACAATACCAAATAAGAAGTTAACTCTGCTTGGACTATTTCAAGATTCTGTTAAAACAATGTAAAGTGGGAAGTCAAGTCCAAACTCAGTCACAAATATAAGCAAAATCTGTCTCTCTGAAAAACCTAAATTCAAAAGGAGGATCTAAACATTTTCCTCCCTCAAGAAATGTATCTTGGGTTGTGGCTCAGTGGTAGAGTGCTTGCCTAGCAAGTGTGAGGCGCTGGGTTCGATTCTCAGCACCACATACAAATAAATAAAATAAAGGTCCATCAGCAAGTTAAAAAAAAGAAATGTATCTTTCCATTTTTTCTTCTTTCATAATGTGTTGTCAAAAAAACTTTAGTAACCAATATATGATAAATTTTCAGAGTGAAAATTTTAATTTCCTTTAGGTGCCTTTAAAACATCTTTAATTAACAATCAACATTATTGTCCACTAAATACAAACACAAAATACTGTTGGATTCCTTCTACTGCAATACAAATGTTATGAAAAATGTTAACTTTGAATTATTTTTATGACCACATGAGGGCACTACTGTCATTACATTCAGTGAGCTCAGTCAGAAATTGCTTCTTAGAGATGGAGGGACTAGTCTTTATCAGATATATCCCACAGGCAAGTTAAACACCAATACCTTAGTGGACTCTGGGAACCCGCCCCATGTCCATTCCATGTGAGATTCAGATCTGAGCAGGCTCTCGGCAGGTTTCACCTCCAGCTCTGAATCACTCTTAGGACATACTGCCTGGACATACGTGCTACAAACACAAGAACAAAGAAAAGTGAAGCCTTCCATCTTGCTGAGCCTTACAGAGTAAAGGAAATATAAGTCTTAATATACAATAACTTTGTATCCCACAGATATAAACATTCTTGAAGGAAGAATCAATTACTTATTCCCTTTGTGTTCTTTAATAATAAAAATGGGGCTGAGTCATAGCTCAGTGGTAGAGTGCTTGCCTAATATGTGAGGCACTGGGTTCTATTCTCAGTACCTCATACAAATAAATAAAAAATAAAGGCCCACTGACAATTAAGAAAATATAAAAAAATATAAAAATGGCAACTAGTGTTTACTGAGAAGTTACTGGGTCCTCTCTAAGCACTTTATATGCTTTATCTTATTTGCTTCTCACAGGAAATCAATGATACAAGTAATTTTACAGAACAGGAAATGCACAGAGTTATATTAACAGCGAATAGGTGAACATTTGATTGCAGAATAAACAGTAGGACTACATGTGCTTTTTCATTATATTATCCATAGTTACACATAATAGTTGACATGAAACAGAACTGAAGAATTGGAAAATTCTATACCAACTATACAGATCTACAACTGGTCAACAAGGTTAGGGTAGGCAGATTAAGTTTAGGAACAAAATAATTAGAGAAATAGTTCTTATTCATAACAAAAGAAAATAGTTCATTTTAGTGTATGAGAGAAATGGGAAAAATTATTGCTGTCAAATAACAGAAAAAGTTACTTAACATGTCCTTTCTCTTTCCTTTAAGTAAACAAGAAATTTCAAAGATACTCACTTCTCTAATGGGGACCAATCTCCATCAGATAAGGGGTAGTGATCTCCAGAATGGAAGAGCAAAGGCTCCTTAAATTCTTCTTCCTTTAAGGAAGCATTTGAAGATCCTCTGTGAAAGAGAAAATAATGACGACATTTATTAGCTTTAAAATACTACTCAAATCTACTGGCCAACTTCCTAAATGACAAAAACAAAGGGGGCTTTTCCCCCCTTTTCAAAAGGAAATATGAAAGGGAGATTTACCAATGCCATATGCTACTGTAATCACTAACTATGGACCAGAAGGACAGGAGGAGGAAGAAGGACAGAAAGGAAATCTAATTAAAAATTCCTTTTTAAATCCTTTGGAATAATAAGGCTTTATATGTATTTCATTCAGTTTTTACAAATCTGAGGTAGTAACATTCCTTTCTGGGGGTAGAGGGGTATTGGGGATTGAACCCAGGGGTACTTTACACTGAGCTATATTTCCACTCCTTTTTATTTCAAGACAAGGTCTTGCTAAGTTGCAGAGGCTAGCCTTGAACATGCAATCCTCAAGTCTCAGCCTCTCAAGTCACTGGGATTATTACAGGTGTGCTCTACCATGTCCGGTGTACTACTACACTTTAGATATCAGGTAATCAAGAATCCAGAAGTTTAGTAATGACCCAAATCTAAACACTAATGCCCTGTGTGCCTGTTTTCATTTTTATTTTTTTATTTTTAGTTTTTTTAATATTTATTTTTTAGGTGTAGATGGACACAACACAATGCCTTTATTTTTATGTGGTGCTTAGGATTGAACCCAGGTCCTGCCCACTGAGCCACAATCCCAGCCCTTGTTTTCATCTTTAATTGGAAATTTATTACTTGTCCTGTCTACTTCGCAGAATTGATGTGACATTTCTGTGGTGTAACATGTTAAATTCTCAAAGTAGTATAAAGAAAAAACTCTGAAAGATGTAAAGCACCATATTATACAAGTCTAAAGTTCTTAAAGTATATTCAATGTTCTATTATGTTAAGTGAAATAACATGAACTCAAAAGGTCAAGGGTTGTATGTATTCTCTCCTATGTGGAAGCTAGAGAAAAAAGAAAAAGAAAGGTGGAGGAGATCTCATGAAAGTCAAAGGGAGATAAGAAGAAAAGAAAAAAGGAATCAAGGGGAGGGAGGATGGAGGAAAAGGGGAAATACTGGAAAATAATACTTGCCAAATTTTATTGTTATATTGTATGCATGTATGAATATCTAACAATAAATCCCACCATCTATAGTGCACCCATAAAAAATATGGGGGAAAAACATTCAATGTTCTAATAGAATAGATATTAAATGTAAAATGAGAATATTCATATCAATTAGCTGGACTAACATTAGGGAGAAAAACCAGTTAAATTATTTTTTAGTATTATTTTTCTTCCTTTATATCTTAACTATTTATTATTAACTCTGACATGTAATAGGTTTTCCACATCTCTGCATCTATTATTTCCTAAGTTTTCCTAATGCTAATTTTCCTTCTTCCAAAAGATTTCCCCAACACAATCTCATTCAAGGGAAGAGAAACACAAAACTAAGGAAAGCAGACATTCATGTCACCTTAAACACTTACACTCACCATAGAAAAACCTGTGAGATGAAGAATGTAAACTATTTGATCCAGAGACTACTGTTCTATAACCAGAACTGTTAATAGGCCCATGCTTCTTATTTCAGAATACAACCTGCATTCTGATGACTGTTTACATTTTCTTGTCTTTATGAAAAAAAAAAACGTCTTGGCTACATAATTTAGCAGATCTTGTTTTAAGAAAATTTCAGGAAAATGTTTCTTCAAGTGACAGCATCTATAATTCACTAGTGACCCAAAGAAAAAACAAACCACCAAGCTTCTGAGAAACATCACAAGGTACTAGTTTACATGTGTTGTGACTTGCCTGCTTACCAAACAAGGTGCTAGCTTAGATAAGCTGGCAACCATTTTAACTGTCAATCAAATTGGTATACCAACAGATTTAGCTGACGCAGCCTTTTGTACAATTTGGCTCATATTTCTGCAATGCATTAACATTTATAAATTTAGTGACTTATCCATTTATAAATAAATAATGACTCTTGTCCTTTTAAATTTTTTACATATATTTTTAAGTTGATGCACCTTGATTTTATTCATTTATTTATATGTGGTGCTAAGAATCAAACCCAGTGCCTCACACATGCTAGGCAAGCACTCTACTACTGAGCCACAACCCCAGCCCTGACTCTTATACATTTAGTAAGGAACTTCATGTATGTCTTAGACACATTTTAGCTTCCCAAGTTAAAGCTGCAGATCGAGCAAAGCTTAAAACTCCTAAACTATTATTTTAACAAAGGAAACATGTCAATAAAACAAAAGTATTACTTTAGGCTCAGGAGTTATAGCTCAGTGGTAGAGTGCTTGCCTATCATGCGTGAGGCCCTGGGTTCGATCCTCAGCACCACGTTAAAAAA